ATCATTTTTGAAGTGAACTGTCCCCATCAAATTTTAAATTTAATTCATTTAAACCTCCATATTTACCATAAAACATTAGTTCAGTGTTGTTTCTCTTGTTTAACAGATAAATTTATTTCATTTTACCTATGGAATACTCACATTAAGTGTTTTCCTGTGTAGGTAAAAATCTGTTTAACAACCTGTTAAAATACACAAGAATGCAGGAAATGGCATTTACTTTAAAATTTTTCTGTGGGAGGACCCCCAGACCCCCACCAGTGGGTCCCCCCCAACATTACAAATACTTACTTTTGTTTTTGTTTTTTGTTTTTTAATCTCTGAATGTCGTAAAATCAGTAATATTATCTGTGAAATTACAAATTGAACATCTGTTGGCAAATCCATAGCTTTGTATTGCCATAGTTTTCAATTTGTCATTTTTACAAACACATCATAAATTTTCTGTTACAGATATTAGTTTTGGTGTGCCACCCCTGGTTTTTCAGTGGCCCCCCTGAAAAAAAAAATTCTGCAGGCGCCACTGTGTAAAACCCAAAACAAAAAGACTTCCCTCTTGTAACGTAGCTGACGTTGTGATGAAATGTCTAATTTCCCATCAGTCAAGCTTGAATGTTCCTTTCAGCTGTTCCCTCTTCAGAGATCACAGCAAGTCTGTTCTCTCTCCAAAAACCTCCATGTTTGATCTGCCGCCATATTGCTCCTCTTTAGTCTTCCTTTTTGTTTGTTCCTGGCATCCTCCTCGCATCATAAAATCCTTCCAATATGCCCACTGTCCCTCCTCTGGAAACGTCCAAAACATCAGTCAGGCCACTTGAATTTTATCTCCCAGTGGTTCAACCTCTGCCGTACCTGATGTCGTTCCTAATCTGGTCCATCTTTGTGAATCCAACGGAGAACTGTAACATCTTCAGCTCTGCTACTTGAAGTCCTGCACCTTTGAGGCCTCCCTGCCTCCATCTCCTCCACACACTGACGCTGTCTCGCTATGGCTGAATTTCTAAAATCAAAAACGATTATTGCCAAGTTTTTCTTCAGTCTGTCAGTAAAATTATAGTACTTTTCACAGTCGGGTAACCACAAATGCTCCACAATAAAAGAATCTCAACAGAACAAACGATGAAGCATTAAGACAAACTAAACTCATAGAAGCCTGCTTTAAAAGGTGACTTTTCAGCTGCTTTTTAAGAATCCACAGCTCTAGAGATTGAGCAATCGAACCACAAGGTTAGAAACACTCAGTTCTGAGCTTTTTAGAGTCCACAAAGGGGTTCCCAAGAATTCTTTTCATTTTTTCAGAGCCAGACAGTGGTCTGAGTAGTGCAAAGAGGTCTCTAATTCAATGCCACACCATCACACAGACCATCGTCACGGAGTCCCATCACCATTTTGTGTTGGTTCAGCAGGTTGTGCCCAGTTAGGACTCCAACCAGTGTACTTAAGAGTTTTCCTTGTCAGGGAGATGAGAGCTTTCCCAAACCTTAGATTTGGGCCGTTTATCATTTCTTGTGCCATTCTACAGTCCATCAGCTCCTCCAGAGGATTGAGTGTTGATGTCTGATCCAGGCCTGTAGGGCAGTCCTACAGACTGTTGTTGTAATACCTACAACAGACTCTGGTCCTTTAGATCTGCTATACAAGCGAGGCCGTGGCCATGCAACACTCAAGAACTGATCGTTAGAACTTATACTGGATCCTGAGCCCCACAGGAAACCAATGGAGTGAATGTAACAGGAGTGACACGACAGCATCAGTTTGACCAGAGGCCTATTGCACGAATCTAGGATAAGGGATTAACCCAGGATTTTGGTGTAAACCTGAATTAAGTCTCGAATCAGTTGAATGACAGAGGAAGCACTTATATTTCTGTGGTAACAAGTGCTCTGAAACTAACCTGACCAGGTTTAAAGTGAAGCTTATTTAATCTGTTCGTGGTTTTGAGCAGTAGAGTCATTTTACTGCAGAAAAATGTTCCTCTAACCAAGTTTTACAGTCTTATATCAGCTAAAAAGTACATTGAGCTTGTTTTTATACCCATATACTAAACAAGATCAGAATATGTTGGATTATTAATCTTGTTAATCTGAAAAGTTTTTTTTTTTTACTTCAAGAAGTCTTACCAAGTGCAACTGTCAAACTGCAGTTTATTAATTATTATTAATTTGAAAAGAATAAGGGTCTAATCTGGTATTTTTAACTTATTTTTAGAAGCCTAATTTTTGCAGTGCCTGATCAGAAATCAGTTCTTCAGACAGTTAAATTTATTAATTTTTCTTTGCATTAAAATATTAAATATATTTGTTTAAAAAAAGAATAATTAAAAAAAAGAGTTAACCTCAGCTTCACCTTTAAAGTAATCTTTAAAATAATCTTTGATCCACCCGGTGGGTCTAGTAAACAAACCGTGAACGTGCATTAATCCTAAACCGTTTACAGCTGGCTTGAATGAACTTCCCTAATTGAGCGTGGCTTGGTGTTCGTGCATCTGTTTATGGCTGTTTACAAGCTGAAGGCTAGTTCAGCCTCAGCTTACAGCTCATATCCTGAATTTAGAAATCGGACTTTTGTGAAATAGGCCTCTGGTGAGCCGTCTAACTGCAGCCTTTTTGAACAGCCTGCAGACGAATCGAGCAGACATTAAGAAAAGAAGAGTAGTGCGTTGCAGCAGTCAGTCTGAGAGGAAACGACAGCATGAATAAGCAGCTCTGCATCTGAAAGGACAGAAAATGTCTTGAGGTTTATATCTTGGCATACTGTTTTGTAACATTCACGTAAACTCAGATGTTCTTGCGTCAAACCAGTGATCTTCGAGAAGTGGTAATTTTCTTTTTTTTTCTAAAACTGTTGCGTGAAAAATTAACCTCCTCTCAGTCAGTGACAAAGCTCATATTGACTAGTGGTGCAATCCAGTTTTTAGGCCATTTTAAGCCATTCAGTTTGTGTTCTAGAAAGATTCAATGTTTTGTTTTGTTAACTGAAGATTATTTTAGTTAGAATTTATACTTTACTTAGGGTTGGGCAATATTGGCAAAAAAATTAATCACGATTAATTGTGGTATTTAGCCGATAACGATTAATTTGACGATTAATCCCCTGGAGTCCCTGCACACCCGTCCTAGTCACATGACAAATTTAGTGGGAAAGATTTGCTCTTCATAAAAATCTGTTCCAAATTGTGTCAAAATTACAGACTTCAAGCTACACATCTATTTTGAACTGTGTTGATAGATAAATAAATTACAGAACTTTTTTTATGTTCATCATATTTGAAACAGAGAGGAGCAGCGAGCAGATTCTGCCTGGTGGCATTAATCGTATTAATCGTCAAGTGCCAAAAAATAATCGATTGTTTTTCTGACGATTAATCACACACGACATGATTATGCCCAACCCTACTTATACTAGATTTTTTCTTCTCTCTGCTGCCTTTTATTTCATTTTATTTGTATTTTATTTTTTTAGTGTACATAGAATTTTGTTTTTATGGAATGAATAAAGTTTGAAATAAATAAATAAATTTTTGACTTTATGGTTTTCCACTCCAATGCTCCCTTTTTTTAAATCACATTTCTAGTTGCACAAAGGCAACAGGAAAGCATTTTGTTTGCATATGATTTTGTTTTTACTTTTTTTATTATTTCATTTATCTTAAAAAAACAACTCTAATTTAGTTTAAAGGCTTAAAGGTTTTTGTCTTTTATTATTTTTCCTTTCATTTGTTAAATCTCTGCATCACTCAGCTGGTCTCCAGAACCAGTTTGATCAGCTTCACTGATGAATCAATGATGCAACAATCAAAAATCAGATACGTTTTTTTCCCCCAGTCAGTGAATAAATCCATCTCCAAGCAGCTAAGATATATATTTTTAATAAAACTTATATAAAACAGTTGTTCATGTTTACACTGAAACACAGCTCAGCACATTGCATTAGCTCAGCTTCACAACAGGACACACAATCATTAAATAAGCAAGACTTTCAGCTGGTTATAAAAAAATTCATGCACACTCACATGTGAGAGGAAATGCTGACATGAAATGTTTGCAGTATTTAGAAACACGTTTGAAAGTTCAAGTGTTTGCAGACAGATGAGGCGACAGATTCTCTGACCAGTGCCTCAACATCATGTTTGCTCTGAGATGACATTGTTTCAATAACTGGAATTCAGAGTTTGTTACTCTGCTCCCTTAAAGTGCCTGTCACATCAAATGTTTGTAATAACGCATGTTTTGAAAGGTAACATTAATAACATGTTGCAAAAAAAAAACTAATGAGATGAAGAGTGGTTGAGATCTTCACAAGTTGAACAGGAAGTGATGATGAAGAGGAATGTGAGTGAACAGAGCAGTTCTACAGACTGTAGAGAAGAATCTGATGTTTCTTATTTACTTTCTGACAGTAAAGTTTTTTTGGAAGATTTTAAGTATTTTTTAAGCATCACTTTTATCTCGTTACATTCAAAACAAATTTTTTTTCTTTATTTCTTTAAATAAGAATGTAGCACCTAGTTACTCGTTACAAATTTAAATAAAGAACAGAGCTCATCATGAAAGATGTTTATGCACTCTAAAAATCAAGTGTTGAATTTACTCAACTAAATTATGTCAATTAGTTCCACTAGCTGAATAAATGTAAACATACTTTTACTTTCCCAATTATTATGAGCAGTTTTATGACTTTTATTTAAGTATTTTATTTATCAGTGAAAATGATTTTTTTCCAGTCATTTTCTGCACTGTAAAATTTGGCAGAACTCAAAATCATGAGGCAACAAAATTCAGGGCATTTTTAAGTTTTGGACTTCAACTTAACTATTTAAGTTTTGTTTTTGAGTTTTCCAAACTTTGATCTCCATGTTTTTGTAACCCAACTACAGTTGTAGCAACTTAAAGTTTCAGGTTGTAAGAACTTAAAATGCTGAGTCTTCTACTTCACATGAAAGTAGCAGGAACTTAAAACCAGTGGTGAGCAGCGCTAATCCAAAAATTAGCTCCGTAATTTCTAATGCGCTTATGAAAATATTTAGGTCCGCAACTTCAAAAACGCTTATGCCATAGTAAAACTAGTGGAAGCTAATTTTAAAGTACAAGTTCAATTTGACATTTACTAGCTGTCAATAATTCATGTACAATATATTTACAACACTGCCAACTAGTGGTGTATGAACTCTTTTACAGCTTAATTCTACAACCGCCAATTGCTGGGGATGTGATTTCCTGAAACAGACCTTTAGCTCCTGGTGTAAAAATTAAAAAGTTGTTGAGGATTGCTAGTTCGGCTGATTCTTTAAAAGGTTGTTGAGGATTGCTAGTTCGGCTGCTTCTTTGTCTTTTTCTTTTGTTTGTTGTAGATTTTTCATTAAAGAAGCATCAATAAAGTAGTTTTAAAACTGTTTATTGGTAAACTGAAGCGATGCATTCTGGGTACATGACAGATTTGATTTGTGACGGAAAACGAAAGTTTTCCATGTAGTTGCACCATTTGACCACTAGATGTCTGTCTAACCCCGTTGCTTCGACCAATTACATCAAGTATTGAGCTCCAGCGTTTAAACTTTAAAAAAAAAAAAAAAAGGAGCTCCGATTGTAAAGTAAAATAAATCAATACATGCAAAATTTTAGTATGGATTACAAACGTTTACTGTTTTTGCTGGGAAAGGGAGTACTAAACACTGCCTTCCTGCTACGTAAGCAGACACAAAGCATTGTGGGAAATCAGAACAGTGACCGAGAGAACTGTCAGCAAAGATGTATATGTTTCCAACAACTGTGTTTATCTGGGAGGGGTGCTGTTGGATAGTTGTGTGTTGTGATTTGCTGACAGTCTTACCTTCTGTTGTTCAAGATAATAATGACTGGTAGATAATTAGTTATTAGCGGTACTGCATTTTAATTTTAGATAGCGCAAATCTCCTTGGAAATTATAAAATTTAGTAAGACCACTAAACGTAAACAAAATTTTTAGGTCTGCAATTAGCAGATTTGCGCTTTAGTGGACCACTGGCCCACCACTGGTTAAAACTTTATGTTGTACAAACTATGAATCTCAAATTTCTCTTATTCCAGTTATTATAGATTTATTTGGTGATAAAAATGATTAGCAGAGAGTTATCTGCAACTGCTGATTACATTAGCATCACTACGTGTCAATACAGACAACTTTCCACTCATGTTTCTGCCCATTTTGTTCTTTGTTTTTTAAACATTATTAACACTAAAAGATTGGACTGGATAAAAACAAACCAGAAGTATAAGAACAGAAGTTATCTCTGCGAGCTCTGTGTTCGAGTAGTTCACTCTGCCTTCAACTCAAAAGCCAACTCCAAAAGTTGTCTTGTCTGGAAGTTAGCAGCACTTTCATCTGTTTCAATAACCTGCAGATAGAAGTACTGACAACTCAAAATAATGTTTAAGATTACAACTGCCTTGGTTTTTTGAACCGACTTAAATTATTATCCCCAATGTGTCAGACTTAGTTTGTCAAGGTTTTTCAACTGAAAATTGTTTTTCATCCCAAAAAAATTAAGTTGGATTTTTTTTACAGTGTATTAAGGTATTTTTACTTTTAGTTATTTAAGTATTTATATACCTCTGTGGGTTACTATCAGAGAGACGAAGA